TGAAAACAACTAAAGACATGGAACAAAAGTTAAATACACTGAAAACAACTAAAGACATGGAACAAAAGTTAAATACACTGAAAACAACTAAAGACATGGAACAAAAGTTAAATACACTGAAAACAACTAAAGACATGGAACAAAAGTTAAATACACTGAAAACAACTAAAGACATGGAACAAAAGTTAAATACACTGAAAACAACTAAAGACATGGAACAAAAGTTAAATACACTGAAAACAACTAAAGACATGGAACAAAAGTTAAATACACTGAAAACAACTAAAGACATGAAACAAAAGTTAAATACACTTAAAAACAACTAAAGACATGGAACAAAAGTTAAATACACTGAAAACAACTAAAGACATGAAACAAAAGTTAAATACACTTAAAAACAACTAAAGACATGGAACAAAAGTTAAATACACTGAAAACAACTAAAGACATGGAACAAAAGTTAAATACACTGAAAACAACTAAAGACATGGAACAAAAGTTAAATACACTGAAAACAACTAAAGACATGGAACAAAAGTTAAATACACTGAAAACAACTAAAGACATGTAACAAAAGTTAAATACACTTGAAAACAACTAAAGACATGGAACAAAAGTTAAATACACTTGAAAACAACTAAAGACATGGAACAAAAGTTAAATACACTGAAAACAACTAAAGACATGGAACAAAAGTTAAATACACTGAAAACAACTAAAGACATGGAACAAAAGTTAAATACACTGAAAACAACTAAAGACATGGAACAAAAGTTAAATACACTGAAAACAACTAAAGACATGAAACAAAAGTTAAATACACTTAAAAACAACTAAAGACATGGAACAAAAGTTAAATACACTGAAAACAACTAAAGACATGAAACAAAAGTTAAATACACTTAAAAACAACTAAAGACATGGAACAAAAGTTAAATACACTGAAAACACTGGAACAAAAGTTAAATACACTTAAAAACAACTAAAGACATGGAACAAAAGTTAAATACACTGAAAACAACTAAAGACATGGAACAAAAGTTAAATACACTGAAAACAACTAAAGACATGGAACAAAAGTTAAATACACTGAAAACAACTAAAGACATGGAACAAAGTTTAATACACTGAAAACAACTAAAGACATGGAACAAAAGTTAAATAAACTGAAAACAACTAAAGACTGAACAAAAGTTAAATACTGAAAGACACTAAAGGAACAAAAGTTAAATACACTGAAAACAACTAAAGACATGGAACAAAAGTTAAATACACTTGAAAACAACTAAAGACATGGAACAAAAGTTAAATACACTGAAAACAACTAAAGACATGGAACAAAAGTTAAATACACTGAAAACAACTAAAGACATGGAACAAAAGTTAAATACATCTGAAAACAACTATAGACATGGAACAAAAGTTAAATACACTTGAAAATGACTAAAGACATGGAAAAAAGTTAAATACACTGAAAACAACCAAAGACATGGAACAAAAGTTAAATACACTGAAAACAACTAAAGACATGGAACAAAAGTTAAATACACTAAAAACAACTAAAGACATGGAACAAAAGTTAAATACACTGAAAACAACTAAAGACATGGAACAAAAGTTAAATACACTGAAAACAACCAAAGACATGAAACAAAAGTTAAATACACTGAAAACAACTATATAGACATGGAACAAAAGTTAAATACACTGAAAACAACTAAAGACATGGAACAAAGGTTAAATACACTTGAAAATGACTAAAGACATGGAAAAAAGTTAAATACACTGAAAACAACCAAAGACATGGAACAAAAGTTAAATACACTGAAAACAACCAAAGACATGAAACAAAAGTTAAATACACTGAAAACAGCTAAAGACATGGAACAAAAGTTAAATACACTGAAAACAGTTAAAGACATGGAACAAAAGTTAAATACACTGAAAACAACTAAAGACATGGAACAAAAGTTAAATACACTAAAAACAACTAAAGACATGGAACAAAAGTTAAATACACTGAAAACAACTATAGACATGGAACAAAAGTTAAATACACTGAAAACAACTAAAGACATGGAACAAAGGTTAAATACACTGAAAACAACTAAAGACATGGAACAAAAGTTAAATACACTGAAAACAACTAAAGACATGGAACAAAAGTTAAATACACTGAAAACAACTAAAGACATGGAACAAAAAGTTAAATACACTGAAAACAACTAAAGACATGGAACAAAAGTTAAATACACTTGAAAACAATTCTATAAAAAAACAAAAACTGATGAACATTTAATGGAATATCTGGATAACTGCTGGTATCTAGTCATAAGAGAAAGAAGATTGTGATGCTGAGGACCCATTTTAGGGAGATGCAAACTATGAATTACCAAACAGGCAATAAAGCTGGAAACAAATAAACTTAGAAAATGAGGATATCTGAAAGAAAGTACACTTTTCAGCAAAGTAAAACACTCACAATTTTAAAACTATAAATGATGGAGGAAAGAAGCATAAAGTCCAGAGACGGCTCAAATACCAGAACTTTAGCCACGAAAGTGGCGCAAATAAACAAGACCACAAATATAGCCAGAGACTGTTGGCAGCTTCGGCTAGCTAGCAGCAGGTTGGACGTGGTTGAGTTTTTGATTTTTTCTCAAAAGGAATGGGAACTGGAATGAATAAACTCAATCATTGTCCTATTTTGATTATTGTCTCCCTTAGATAACTGCTCTTATACTTTAATACTAAAAAAAAAAAAAACATCTCTTTTGATCCTACCCCATGAGGTTTTGTTAAAAAAAAAAAAATTATTGGAAACACTAATAATCCCTTGCTGTGTTGTAGGACTTGGAAAAAAATGAATGAAAGATACCCCTTTAGTTGCCAGATTTATGTAGTATACAAGCACAATGACCAAAACTTAAATATAAAGAAGACATAATGTGATATTTGAGGCATGCAGAGAATAGTCAGCCACAGATCATGTGTTGTTTGGGATGAGAAGAGTTAAAAGATAATACTTCAAATTAAAAATGAATTAAGATAAACATCTTAAACAGAAACAGATCCAAAAATACATAACAACACACCAGAGAAGGAAGATATAAAACTGAAAAATGCACCTTAAAGTTTTTCCTAGTTGGGCACCGGGGCCTTCAGGCTCATGATCAATGAGGAACTGGTTCAAATCTCCGTATTTCATATACTCAACCACCATACACAAGGGCTCCTCTCTTGTGCAGACTCCGAGAACACGAACAATGTTGAGGTCCTTCAGCTGGGACATGATCTTGATCTCTTTATGAAAATCAGCTCTGAGAAAGAATATTTGTTAGTTTAATATGTTTGTGGTCAAAGAAAAGGAAAGCAGTTGTTATTAATATTATTTTTTGCTTTATTGGTGTATAGTGATTCTATATCCTCTTCATGTTGCTGTTGACAATAAGGCATTCACAAGTGATCTCCATTGCTGCCGGTCTGCTGCTTTTCTGCCCATGGTATCCCATGTCAGTTTACATTCCTTCATTTCCCGTTCTATTGTCCTTCTCAAGGTTTCCTTAGGCCGTCCACGTCTCCTTTTTCTCATCTGATGTCCACTGGAGAGCTGTTTTTGCCAGAGTCATGTGGCATTCTGAAAACATGTCCAAGCCATCTCCATCGTCTTACTTTGATAACATTTGCCAGTGATGCACATTCTGTTTTCCTCCTCAGTTCTTCATTTGTGATCCTGTTTGGCCAAAATATTTGTAGAATTCTCTTTAAACATTTATTTTGAAATGTCTCAAGTTTATGTGTAATTCCCGCTGTCATTTTACTTCATATAAATAAAAATCAACTTTGTGCGAAATGATGATTCTAAAAAAAAAAAAAAAAATTCCTCTTTCTGTGTGACTTGGGAGCTGTGATGAATGTAGTCACGTCTATCCACAACCTTGTGTCTCGTGCACTTTGAATCAACTCTGACAGAGAAGATCTTCCATGCCATGATGTCAGACTGTCCAGCATCTTTTCTCTTAATCTCCCTTGCTGAAAACGTCTCTCAGTACATCCTCACAGTAGTGAGCAGTTGGTCAATTCTTTGTTTCCCCTCAAACAAGTTTGCCTGTCTGGGCAGTGGTTACAGGTTTTTAACTCCTCAGATTTTTATTAAAAACTGACAAAGACTTCACATTTCTTCAGCTTTTTCTTCTCTTCCTCTAGCTTCTATGGGTAGATTTTCACAGAATTTTAAGATTCATTTTTAAAACAAAATGAAATTATGAAAGAAAGGTCATTTTTAAAGATTTGTATTCGGGAAAAGGGTTGCAGCCCATGGTAACACCCATGTAAGCCCATGGTAACACACACACAAACCCATGGTAACACACACACAAACCCATGTTAACAAGCATGTATGCTCATGGTAACACACATGCAAGCCCATGGTAACACACATGTAAGCCCATTGTAACACACATTTAAGCCCATGGTAATACACACGTAAGCTAACGGTAACACACAAGTAAAAGGTAAAGGCAAAGGTAAAGTCGGGAGATGTGAATCAGCATAATTGCACACAGTTATAAACCATAAGTGCTCTGCCACCAGTACGGACAGCTGATAAGAAACTGTCTGTCAGTGTTGCCGTCCGCATGTAACTCCGTAGCTACAGTGATGTTCCTCCATTTACCCCAGAGTGTTAACCCTGGTACCCATTTCCTAGAGGCTGGGTGAACCCCAAGAACCATCCGATTTCAAACACCGGCTGTGGGCTGCAGCGAGTTGCAGCTGGATTTGAAAGCAGGTCTCCTATCGACTGCGTTAATGCAGCCCCGTTAATAAGTAAAAGGACCCTTGTATGTCAACGGCACATCCAGCATATGATGCCAGATGTATATTTTTTAAACCAATTTGTTCTTGGTGGGGTTGGATGAAGAAGTTGACACCACCCCAGCTGCCTTTACTTCCTGGTTCACAGGTGACGTATAAGAAGAAGCAGACGTCTGTATTCTCACCTGGCTCGATCATCAGCTTTTGGTCTCAGCATCTTGACCGCCACCAAGATTGGACCACGCGGCAAGGACCTGTTCAGCATGTACTCATCCACCATCAGCTCCTCACCGTGCATGGCTTCACACAGGTGAACCTGTGGGATGAATTTGGTGAGAATAATACATCTGTTGTTGATATCATAGTCGTCCCCATGTGGGGTGCAATGTTTTTGTTTGAAGCCCCACCCTGGCTTCTGCCCAGGGCCCTGAATATAGCCGGGGCATAGATAAAGCCTAGTCATAGATAGGGCCTACCGGCTGAAAGAGGTTTCTGGGACGTCTCCAAGGGTGATCCTCATCCACATGGTGGCAGTCTGTGTCACCGGGTGTTTATCGCTTGTGTGATGTTCTGGTGAGGTACAACTACCTACCTACCTACATCTGTTAAGAAAGGATTGCTAATATCTTCTTCTTCGTTTTTTAGTGCTCTCTGGATGTAAACTTCAGCTGGATGTAAACTTTAGCTGGATGTAAACTTTTGGTTATTCATCCCCTTCTAAACTTTGTTCTTCTTCCAGAATTTGAGTGTTGCATGCACATCTGTTTTACAGATCTGGCTTATGTGTGTATGCTGTTGGTTCCTGGCATTCTGACTTTGAAGGAAACACCCCTAATTAGTTGCCTGCTATGACAGTTTTTTAGGGGGCAGATGGTCTGTTCTTTGTTCCTCCAAAATGAGCTTTAGGAAACCCACATGGGAGGTTAATACGTAAAAAAAAAAAGGACCTTTTTCCATGCCTGCATGTGAATTGGACATAAGGGGCTAGACCTATATTTTATAAACCAAATAGAACTTGATAGGTGATGTCAGCATCACACCGGCCACCTTTACTTCCCAGGACTGTACCTGGTACCCACTCAATGCTGGGTCAACATGGGATTAATATGAGAAGATAAAATGATCATAATTAATATGCTCCTTTATTGATTGTTGCACAAACATGAATTTATGTGCAAAATACTCACTGTGGGTTGCAATGTCTTTCTATGAGAGCAGTACATATAGTGGGCTGGTTGTCCTAGCCATTGTGCCTACAGATGCATCCTCTGCCTAGCACAGTTACAGTGATGGCCAGAAATGAAAACTTCTCTCAGTTCATCGTGACAGAAGGAAAATTGGAGTGGAGGAAAGGCAGAGGCAGACTAAGAGGAAAAGATGCTGGACAGTTTGACATCATGGCATGGAAGATCATCTGTGTCAGAGTTGACTGGAAGTACACGAGACAGAAGGTTGTGGATGGACATGACTACCAACGCCAATGGCATGGACTATAAGAAGAAGAATATATACTTCCTGTTTGGGTTTGAGGGCTCATCTAGGGTGGAAACAAAAAGAACTCAGTAATTATTGAACCCCTAAGGTATTACTGTTTTCTTTAAATACAGCCAGGAAAATGCTTGCTTTATGTTGTTCCGTAGGAATGAAAACTTAATGAAAGACATCTCTATGGTTGTCAGATTTATTTAGCATACACTGGCCAAAACTCAATAATAAGATACTTAATATGATATCTGAGACATTTAGGGTATAATCATCATGACGTGTTTGGGTCTGAAAAGGTTTTTAATTTTTTTTTTAATGCAGTAGCTGATTAAAAAGACATACATTTTTGTTCAACTACATACTTCTCCAAACTGTCCTTCTCCTAAGACTTCCACAAATCTGAGATCCTCTCTCTGTAGCTCCATCACCGTATAGTCGATGCTACACAGCAGATCTGCATTTGGCACAGCATACACGTTGTTTCCACTGACCCCTTGCATGCTGGGAACACTTCCTCCGTGAACATTGACGATATCCGCAGCAGCGTAGAGAGCGTCATAGTTGGGGGGTTTGTCCAGGATAGCCAGTTGGTTGGGGGCTGAAACTCTCGGCGGCAGGTTGACAACAAGACCTGATTTGGTGATGTCAGGGACTGCGTAATCTCTCAGCTCTGATCCTGAAAAAAAAAAAAAAAAAAAAAAAAAAAGAAATCAACACTTGAAGTGAATGTTTGGTTGTATAGTTTAAAACAGCAATTGTTCAGAATGAATTTAAATGATGAAATGCAAACCAAAAATTTGTTTCATTTCTCACCCAGCATACTTCCCAATATTTCTCAACATTCATGCTATAGAATTTATACCAACTGGTCAAGGCCCTTTGGGAATAAGCAATGGAATCAGTAGAGAAAGAAGATTATTATGGCCTGGACAGAATGAGGCACCTGGGTGTAACCAGAGGGTCTGGCCGGCTCACAACACTTAGAGGAAAGGCAAGACGAATATATCACCAGATTGTGATAGGTAACATCAGTATTGGAACTCTGCACTGACTGCTGAAGATGAGGACAGAGCATGCATGGGAATGCCCTGAGTGCTGTGCTGTCAATTATTGACTCAAATCAACACAATTTACACCAATGTACTGTCATGTAACAGTCCAAGCCATCCCTTTGTCTTGATCTGATCTAGACTCTGTCATCTCAATGTAAATTAGGACAGGTTCAAAAGTGAACCCGTCTGTGTAGGTTTATAGTCCATCTTATATATTTACACCTTTATTGCCTAATAAGTATTTCTGAATGTTCTGAGTCTCTTGGTAGAACTCCATTTTAAAACTTACAATTAGAGGTTAGAGATTCTGTGTGATATTGCTCACATTCCAATGGGGAAGATCACCACCAAGGACACAGGCATCCCCCCCCCCCCCCTCTCTCTTTTTTCTGTGGCAGACGCTAGGGTCTAACCTGATTCTCAGCCTGGCATCCACGGAGAGCAGACATTTTGTGTCCTGATTCTAATTTCTACGCTAAATCTAGAAGCATTTGTTTCCCAGGACATTTCCAAAAGCTTGGGATGATATCTCCTTGGAGGCCAGTCAAAACTAAGTTGTCTGTCGTTCCTTGATGTCTTTGAACTCTGTTGAATTGCTTTGTTTCTAATTCATATATATATATATATATATATATATATATATATATATATATATATATATAGTTATATGTTGAACTTATTACAGTGTCGTATGAATTTCACCTTCTTGGTTGGGTGTCCATCCTTCACTGTTCCTAGTTTTCTGAAGTGTATGTGATTATTATATTTCATCTTTTCCTGTGTTAACATGACTATGATAATAGACTATCTAGTCTGGGGGCTGTTTTATGGTAGTAGTGAGGACGTCAGGCCACGTTGTGCCTAGGAGTTTATATTCTATAGTGCTATAACTTGTGTTGCCTCACCCCTGAAAAAGGTTGGATATCAATTAGAGCTGTGGGATTCCGCCTAGACCATTGCGAGCCGACATCCCAATCTTTGTAACTATTTCAGTGCTGTTGGTTCAGCAGGAGAAATCCTTACCTAGGCACCTGACACAAGCAGTATGTGACATGTACAAGGAAGTACAATATATTTTATTCTAGTCTTTTAATGTCATTTTGCTTTTGTGTACTGGTGAATGCTTTTTAGTCATAACTTTTATTCTGTCACTTATGAATGTCTTTTTGTAACCCTAACTAGTTATACTTTATGTTCTTTGTCAACTTATATTTTATTCATTGTTTCTCCTTGTTTTACTTCAGATCGTCCATTTAATTTACTTTTAAAACTGTATTGCAATACATATGGCAGAAAAAAGTACAAATGAGTTGTCCGTGAAGAAATAAGAGTAGCTTACCTTGAATACTGTCTTGTGGTTGGATATATGCAGGTTTACAGGCAAACTTTTCACTGCCAGCTCCACCGCTACAACACCCACCAGCATCACGGTCAGAATCTGCCTCATCTGTAGCAATACTGTTGTACATATTTCCATTGGAAACCTTTCCGTTTGTGTTTCCCCGCAAGTCATTGAGATTGATAGTAACATGACTGTTGCTTACAGGTTTGTGGCCACGGCGATTGTTATTGTTCTTCCTTCGCTTGTGTCGACAGAAGAATATCAGAATGACACACAGGAGAAGAAATATCAGAGCAGCCAGAGCCCCGATGATAATGCTGATGTACTCGTCATCGTATTCCTTGTTTTCTTTCTCATCGAGAGGAACTTCGTGTGATTCAGAGCTGTTGCCTGTGAAAGAAAAACATTTGTTTAGTTTTGGTATTCACGAGTCTTTTATACAATTTTTCTATGTAGCAACTGCCAATTTTAAATTGTGGTAGCTTCTTTGTAACTTTTCCTGTGTAATAACAGACATTTTAAAATTGTGGTAGTTTCTTTGTAACTTTTCCTGTGTAATGACAAACATTTAAAAATTGTGTTAGCTTCTTTGTAACTTTTCCCGTGTAATGACAGACATTTTAAAACTGTGGTAGCTTGTTTGTAACTTTTCCTATGTAACGACTGGCATTTTAAAATTGTGGTAACTAATTTGTAACTTTTATTTTGTAACGACTGTCATTTTAAAATTACAGTAGCTTCTTTTTAACTTTTTCTGTGTAACGACTCATTTAAAGGTTATGCTTCATTCTTTTTTCTGGATAAGAATATGTGTAATGTTTTTTAAGTGGCAACTGTCATTTTTTAGAAATTGATGATAATATATTTATAACTTTATTTAGGTGTGCCATTGTTCCACAGGCATCAATTTACAGTTATTCCCAATTTGGGTTCCGGGCCCTGTTTGGGGGAAAACAAGAATAGACCCACTGAGGCAAGGAACCAACAGTCTGCCCACAAATGAGTCAGATCTGTCAAACGGATGCACACACAACACTCAGGTTCTGAAACAGGACTGTAGACCAGAAGTTGACAAATAACAAGAACTTTCCGCCGGAGTTTACAGCCGGTAAGCGCAAAGAAGAAGAAGAATTTACAGTTATGCTAGCTACTGTGTAACTGTTTTCTTTGTAACGGGCCATAATATAAAAATATTCCAGCTTTTTCATAACTTTTCCTACATAACAGGCAACAATTTAAAATCAGGGAAGATTTGCCCACAGTTCAAAGTTCTTGCTTCATGAGCTTGTCTAATGCAAACATTGCTTAGCCTCTCTCTCCAATATTTCTGAATTTCAATTAAACTAAGTTGCTTTCATCACACAGCATGGGCTATAAGAAGAAGTTCTGTTTGCTTGCATTATTACCTTTTGTGTTTACCTTCCCACACATATTTCGCTGTCTTCTTTTGACTTTTTTTTTGTGTTTGGTCTTCCTTTAGGGCTGTACCGAATAGTGATTTTCACTATTTGGCCGAATTCGAATAACGGAACCAACTATTCCGACGATTCAAATACGAATAGTGTATAAAGTTTATGTATAAAAAAAAAAAACCACACACACACACATTCTTAATGTCAAACGTACGCTGAACTTTTATTTGACATACAGTAGCACAGAATAGTCATCTACGTCTTTAGCATTCTGAGCCCTTGAGGTTTACTGCTGCAGATATCACTTGTCTCCATTCATATCCCTGACTGGCCTTCTCTTCACAATTTGTGACACCAGTTGTTTGCAGGTCTGACTGGACATTATCTCTCGAACTTCTTTTTTTGTCTGCCTCGTGGTCTACGCCCATTCCCCTCTCTCAGGTGTATACAGTTTTACTTCTCTGTCATTCTTTTAATATGCCCCAACCATTTTAGTCTGTAAGCTCTCATGATGCCAGTGATCAATAGTGATTTAAACAGATTACGTGTTATGTTGTTGCTTCTCACTCTCCATTTCCCGCTGTTAGCATCTTTGATAGGTCTAAAGATTTGTCGTAAGGATGTTTTCAAAAACCTGTAATAAGGCCTCATCTTTTTTATTTCTGCTTCAAGGTTCAGAGCCATAAAAAACGACTGGTCTTATCAACGTTTTATATATTTTGATCTTGGTCTTGCGAGACAGACACTTTGACTTTAGCAGATGTTGAAGGGCATAGTATACTTTATTTCTAGATTGTGTTTCTTCTCTAAGCATGTTGGAGCACTTGAAGTTTGCACCCAAGTACTTATATGTTTCCGTTCGTTTGATTTTCAATATTATCGATTTGGATGTGGCCGTAATTTATATTCTTTCCATGTCTAGTTAGTATTCGTACAGAATGGTAAACATTTAAAAACATTTTATGTTTTGCATCCTTCAGTCAGTCTGTGGTAACTAATAACTAGGAATAAAAGAATTCTAAGTATTATAACAAGTAACTAAACTTGGAAATTGTCACTGACAGCTTAGTTAATACACGAAAGCTGCATTAGCTTTCAACAAAACCAATCGTTCCATGTTGTCAGTATTAAGGCCGTGTATGCAGAAGCGGGTGTAAGGTAACTACTATTCGTATTCGGCGCGACTGCAACTATTCGGCCAAATACCGAATAGTCAATAGGTCTTCTATTCGGCCCCAATGTTCCTGTGGGTTCCAGTGCAAAGACAGTCTAGTTACATTGCTCTCAGGTTTTCTCAATGTGTGTCCTTTCCAACACCAGCATCTTTTCTTCAGCTCTTGGCCCACAGATTTATTTCTGGTCTAGTAATTCCCTACAAATTACCAACATCTTCACTGTCTATTTGACTGGTGGTATGCCCCAAAAATTTATGTTGTCTGTTTCTTACAGTTTCAGTGGGCGATCTGCTTCATCTTCTTCCCCCTTAAATGGGTGGTTGACAAACTGTGTTGTTTACAGAAAGGCTAAAACATATATGCATGTCAACCCAACACATATCTTATTTATAACAAAAAACTAATTAGTTGCCTTTAATAATCTGCTTGTTAGCAGGAAGTAGGTCCCCCTCCCCCTTTTCCACCACAAATGAAACCCAAGAACCCTTAAGGGGAAGTGGGTTCTGGGACCTTATTGTGGTTTGTTTATCTGTTTAAAAGAAGGTTGAGAATTTCATCGGTAAAGACAAAAGCAAATTCAGAGACATTGACAGGAACAGATATTACAACCCCACTCTTCATGCAGCATGTCTGTCTTTATTACAACAACATGCTTTGTTATTCAGTTACAATTACAACAAGGGTGTACAGCTGATTCTCAAGCAAGCAGAAGGCAGCAATGACTGCCTCCACCTCCATTCTCAAACAAGACACTGTGATTATCCTCCCCACAGTGCTTAATGGCAAAAGTAGTTTATAATGATGATGATGATTAGAACAACAAGAAACGGCGCTGAATTTCTAAACTTCTCCCCATGTTTGCTGTTGCCATTACCTTGCCCATCACGAGACCCGTATCCATTATGATCGCCTCCAACATCAAAGCTGCCGGCTCCATCAGTTCCTGAAGCCTCAGCTGCATCTGGGGTGTGTGCCTTGGTGTTGCCGTCCACACTGAAGGCATTAAACATGTCTTTCTTGGTGGAAGTTGTCGTCAGTGGTGTCGGAGTTGTGGGGGGAGGTGCTTCCTCTGTGAAGTTACCAACTGCTTCAGCTGTGAATATATGAGAGAGTACATAGTATACAATGTGAAAATAAGCACCGGAAAATATCGTTACAACTGGAAAGATCACTGGTAGAAGAGGCAGAGGCAGACCAAGAGAAATAATGGTGAATGGCTTAAGACAGTGGCAAAAAGGAATATCATTAATGAAAATGATCCAGAACCCCAAAGATCCAGATTTAAGGAGATGCATGAACATCTAGCCTGCTGGCAAGGCACTTAATGATGATGATGATACATAGTAGAACAGTATACTAATAAAGCAATGATAAGACAGTAAAAAAAGGAAAACTTGAGTTCGTGAAAGCTGGAGGGAAAAAGAGTGCAGGGAGAGATCAAGAGAAAAGATGCTGGGCAGCAGACTAAGTCCACTACTTTCCCTTACTTCGGCTTTAAGCCTGTTGTGCACTGAGGGCAGTGGACCAGTACCACATTGCAGAATCATCTGCTAACAGATAACCGCACTAAATAATAACATTTACCACACACTGAAACAGATGGAAGCTGTGACAATATAAATGAACAACCCTGTGTTGTGCAAACAAAATGAACATGTAGTAAATGTCAAACTTCTAAGGTAACCACAAGACAATGTGATGTATGTATTTGTATTGCAGTTAAAAAGGTTCAGTTTTTGTGGTTTGTTACAGGTTGATGTAACTCTGTAATAATAATGCACCTGAAGAGATACAATGAAATATGTCAGACAATAAATTGTGCAATATGCATTTGTACTTGTTACTTAAATTCACTCTGGGAAAACAAGGTTTTGAATAACTCAAAAACTGAAAAAATAAAAAATAAAAATAAAAAGTAACAAACATCTTTCCATGAACCACTTACTGGAAGTGAAAGAGACTTCACTGATCATGATCCATCTTGCCTGGAAGTACAGATCTATTCGTACAAATCTTCCAATTTTGTTCTGCATTCTCAGTATCACTGGCCTAGCATTCTCAAAATAATCATCCTGCTGAAAATTCACTTTGGTGGTTTGAGGGGAAAAATACTGGCCACCTATACTGTAGAAAATTTCTGCATGGCGGAAAATGCGGACATCCTTTGTATAATGATTGTTGGAATGTATGACAACCTGAAAATAAAATAAAGTAATTAACGTTTAAAAAAAGACAAAAGTAAAGTTAAATTTAGTTGTGTCTTTTAAAAATAAATCAACCTCAGTATTTACTGGTTATGTCTGGTTTTATTGGTAATTTTAGTAAAGAAGTCAGCTACTGCTTTCTATATGATATGGTGCTTATACATTTGAAAAGTCAGTAGACAGGGTCCTACAAGAAACAAACACATGTAAATCTTCTTCTTCAGCATACATCAGCTGTAAACCCGGGCGACAAGTTCTGGTTGTTCACCCACTTCTGGATTTTGTCATTTTCAGAACTTATATTTTGCATGCATGTCCCTTTTACAACTCTGGCATATTTGTATGTAGAATGTTGGTTGTTCGGCTCTTAGACAGATAAGCTTGACTTTGAAGAACACACAAAATTAGTTCTTTTATAACATGCTTGTTAGGGGACCATTGAGTCTATCCCCACACACAATGGGTACCAGAAATCCACATAAGGAAGATACATGTAATTAAAATTTGGCTCATTTGGGTATAGATTCAACATCACAGAATTCAGGACAAGCCCCTATTAGCTCCATGTCTCTTGCCAACAGCCAACAAAGAGTCTCCATAATGATAGCACCCGTTGTCGTCAGGTTAACTAGTTGTCTTGCCTTTCTCCAGAGCCTCTAGTGGCATTCAGTGCCCACAGACACTCCTTGCTGCAATAGTCACTCCAGGTGTGGGTTTCCAGTATCTTCAGTTTTAACTGTTATGTCACCCCACAGGTGAAAGATCACCTCTGCCTTGGGCAGTTGCAGTACACCACCATTCCAATCAGCCTACCTGCACGCTTCTTATTCTCAATCATGCCAGAATGGCCCTGGGCAAAATATCCATGTGCCTCTCACCAGCTGCGATCTCTGGACTGATACGACCCATTTCATTTGAAGAAAACTGGCCTTCACCTTCCTGAACATGCTTTGCAAATCATTTATCATCAAAATGACGTCTAGAGTGGACACTGACAAACAAAATTCCTCTGCATGTGGGAATCATAACGAAATTTAATATCCTGTCGTGCCAATATATGTCACATAGAGCCTGTGGTCTACTCCACTTTTCTGTTCTACCCAGACTATTGTCTTGACATCGACCTGGCTGCCACGAGATACAAAGATAAGTGATATTGTGAAGCTCGCTGATATACTTTTCATTCTGTTTTATATCTTTCCCTGTACTACCCTGTGCAATTCCTTTGATATCATGTACAGAATCCAGTCCAGTACCTTCTGTCTCTCTCATCAATGTTCATTTTAACGTTTCTTTTGGACGTCTTCACTTTCTCAATCCCTGTATTTACAACTTCAGTGCCCACTGGGTGATTCTCTGCCCACTTCTTCTCATTATATATATATAATAAACAAACAGACAATGTATTGATCGGGACTCATAGAGAGAAGTAGAAAGAAAAAGGACACAACTGATGTGGTTTATCCACCAGGATTTCTCCAGTATAGCACCATCTTCTTTGATTTACAACTGTTGTCACCAATGGTTGCACAGACATTTACTCAGACTGAATGGGTACTATGGGAAGCAAAGTCAGCTTGTATGATGTTGACTATTTTTGGTCAATGTTTCTGGTGGTGACTGTTGGCTTTGCCACCTTTAGCGACTACCGTATGCATTTACTGCATGCACATTTTTCTAGATTGTTACAGGACTAACTGTTTTGTTCACCCGTTTTTTTAAATGCGACTGTTAAATAAGGCTAAGACAAAGACTAAGACAAAGATAAAGATAAAGACTTAGACTAAGACAAAGACACAAAGTCAAAGACAAATACAAAGACACAAAGATTAAGACTAAGACAAAGACAAAGATAAAGACTAAGACTAAGACACAAAGACAAAGACAAATACAAAGACACAAAGATTAAGACAAAGACAAAGATAAAGACTAAGACAAAGACAAAGACAAAGACACAAAGACAAAGACACAAAGACTGAGACAAAGACTAAGACAAAGATAAAGACAAAGAAACAAAGACAAAGACACAAAGACTGAGACAAAGACTAAGACAAAGATAAAGACAAAGAAACAAAGACAAAGACTGAGACAAAGACTGAGACAAAGACAAAGACTAAGACAAAGAAACAAAGACAAAGACTGAGACAAAGACAAAGACAAAGACTAAGACAAAGAAACAAAGACAAAGACACAAAGACAAAGACACAAAGACTGAGACAAAGACTAAGACAAAGACAAAGATAAAGACAAAGACACAAAGACAAAGAGACAAAGACTAAGATAAAGACTAAGACAAAGAAACAAAGACAAAGACACAAAGACTAAGACAAAGACAAAGACACAAAGACTGAGACAAAGACAAAGACAAAGAAACAAAGACACAAAGACTGAGACAAAGACAAAGATAAAGACTAAGACAAAAAGACTGAGACAAAGACTAAGACTAAGACTCAAATGTTGACCATATTTCTGAATAAGTGCTGATTGATGTATTAAAAAACAAATATGGGGCTGGAACTATACGTCCAATACGACTAAAGGCATGGAAATTGGACTTTTACATTATTCAGACTAATATGAAAACTTACAATGTTAACAACAGAAACAACAAAGCAAATCACACCTGAGAAAAGTTCCGCACTGAATCAAACTTGAACAAAATAGAAACAGGTTCATTTGACATGGAGTCATTTTTCCATCCAACCCACTCGTAACCTTTGATCCCCATTTTTTTAGTGTCAAGTCTAAAGTTGGTCTCACCCACATCTCCATCTGTCAGCTGTCCCAGTCCATCTCGTAAATACCGGTCCTGCAACAGAAAATAACAGGCACTCGTGGAAAATGTTATAAAGTAAGTAAACTCACACTTATGTTTTACGAAAATTCATAAGAGAAGCAAAGAATAGGAACAATCTAACCCTATGTTTAAACAACACGTTCAACATTAGAATCGTCAAATGCTATGTTTCTGTTTTGGGCTGAAACCCGGACAATGAACAAGTAACTAAAAATATGAACTGTGTCCCTGTGGAGAAATGTGGATGTACAGAAGAATAGATCACACTTCATGGAAACAAAAACAATCAGATGTTCTGAAGAGACTGCAAATAAAAACTGAGAGTTACTGAGAAAAATTTAAAAATAAAAAAACAGAAAGAGAGAGAAAGAGAAAGAGACAACTGAAATATTTTTGACACATTAAAAGACAGAACACATTTTCTTAAAACCATACTGGAGGGAAAAGATGAAGGCAAGGGAGCAGTAGGTAGACAAAGAATAAAGTAGATATATATATATTGAATATTTTCTCCAGGTTACGCCCGTGTGTTGGGAAATGAGCAGGCGGATAGACTGGATGGTTCTGTACCACTTGGTGGTGAACTGAGTATGACAAGCTGGATGTTGTGAGGGCCCTTTGGGAGCGAGTGAACAGTGCCGAGGAACAGATAGATCATTACGGTCTGAGGAGAATGGCCCTGTGAGGAGTTAGAAGGGATCTGGCCGACGCTCGACACTTGGGGGAGGGGCGAGATGGATATACAATCAGACTGTTACTGGTACCATCGGAATTTTAACTCTTCGCTCGCTGCTGAAGATGGGGATGGAGTGCTTATGGGAGTGTCCCAAGTGCTGTGATGTCGATTCTTAATTCAACATTCAGAATAAAGTAGAGGACAACATCAAGAGATCGATGAACAGCAGTCTGAGAGAGTGTGATACCAAGACAAGAAAACAGCATTGACAACATCAAAAGATCGATGAACAGCAGTCTGAAAGAGTGTGATACCAAGACAAGAAAACAGAGTTGACAACATCAAGAGATCGAAGAACAGCAGTCTGAGAGAGTGTGATACCAAGACAAGAAAACAGCGTTGACAACATCAAGAAATCGATGAACAGCAGTCTTAGAGAGTGTGATACCAAGTCAAGAAAACAGCGTTGACAACATCAAGAGATCGATGAACAGCAGTCTGAAAGAGTGTGATACCAAGACAAGAAAACAGCGTTGACAACATCAAGAAATCGATGAACAGCAGTCTGAGAGAGTGTGATACCAAGACAAGAAAACAGAGTTGACAACATCAAGAGATCGAAGAACAGCAGTCTGAGAGAGTGTGATACCAAGACAAGAAAACAGCGTTGACAACATCAAGAAATCGATGAACAGCAGTCTTAGAGAGTGTGATACCAAGACAAGAAAACAGTGTTGACAACATCAAGAGATCGATGAACAGCAGTCTGAAAGAGTGTGATACCAAGACAAGAAAACAGAGTTGACAACATCAAGAGATCGATGAACAGCAGCCTGAGAGAGTGTGATACCAAGACAAGAAAACAGAGTTGACAACATCAAGAAATCGATGAACAGCAGTCTTAGAGAGTGTGATACCAAGACAAGAAAACAGCGTTGACAACATCAAGAGATCGATGAACAGCAGTCTGAAAGAGTGTGATACCAAGACAAGAAAACAGCGTTGACAACATCAAGAAATCGATGAACAGCAGTCTGAGAGAGTGTGATACCAAGACAAGAAAACAGAGTTGACAACATCAAGAGATCGAAGAACAGCAGTCTGAGAGAGTGTGATACCAAGACAAGAAAACAGCGTTGACAACATCAAGAAATCGATGAACAGCAGTCTTAGAGAGTGTGATACCAAGACAAGAAAACAGTGTTGACAACATCAAGAGATCGATGAACAGCAGTCTGAGAGAGTGTGATACCAAGACAAGAAAACAGAGTTGACAACATCAAGAGATCGATGAACAGCAGCCTGAGAGAGTGTGATACCAAGACAAGAAAACAGAGTGTTGCAGATTCCTTGCAGCCAACCTTTCCTGTGGAGATGGCACCTGATTGACTGACTGAACCCTGTGTTCTTTAACTAGTGGTCCACAGACAAACATACCAGCGAACACAAATGTTTTGCTGGTCTGTCAAAACAGTCCGCCAAATCATTTCTAATACATAAAATGTTCTCTATATTTGTTTTTGTTTGAACCGTTGCTGGTTCGTTAAACATGTCTCGTATTTTCCCAGTCCACAGGCTTAACAAGATTAAAGAAACCTGATCTAATCAACTATACAACTGAAGGATGGTATGAAACTGGCTACTTCGGCTCACAGAAGAGAAAACTTGAGACAGGGAGACAGACAGATCTAGCAGGTACAGAGAGACAGACAGGAAAGCAGAATAAGTAAGTAGTGTAAGTAGGCAGACAGACAAACTTACAGATGCAGGTAGGTAGGTCCAGACAGACAGACAAATGTATATAAGCAAGTAGGTAGACAAGACAGACAGTCATAGGTAGGTAGAGAGAGACAGATAGATGGACAAACAGATGGACAGAAAGATGGACGGAAGGAAGGACAGACAGACAAACAGACACAAGTAGGTAGGTAAGTAGAGAAAGAGAGACAGACAGACAGACAGTCAGAGAGACAGACAGGTAAGCAGTTAAGAAGTATGTAAGCAGGTAGGAAGGTAAAGAGAGACAGACAGACAGATAGACAGACAAATTACAATTCTGTGTTGGCAACTGAGGAAGGAATATTACACGTGATATTAATTGTTCATTTATCTCATTTTTCCAAACTGTATTTACTTTTTTATCATTTGCTTCACCTGAATTGACAAACTTACTTCAATTATCCCATCATATGTGAAATCAAACAGGTCCACTTCTGCACCCCGACGATGACCTTGGGGCATTGAATAAGAAATCAGCGAGTCTGTGAAAAAAAGCAAATGAAGGTAATCAGCATAATATCATGGTCGTCGGTTTTTTTTCTTTTGTTCATTTCCGTTCACTGGCTGTTAACCCAATTATTGATGATGATGGTGGAAATTTCTGGTTGTTCGTCCAATTGTGCACTCTGGTCTCGTTCCAGAATTTGAGTTTTGCTTGTGCATCTGTTTACAAATCTGGTTTATCTGTATGCAGACTGATGGTTCCTCACCTCAGAAGCTGATAAACTCAGACATCGATGGAAGCATCCCTAATTAGTTGGCTTGTATGACACTTTGAAAGCTCTGTGAAGCAGAAATTGTTTTCGGGGATCTAGCTTCACAGGTTACCAAAGCCAATTGTGTTACCAGGTAATTTCCTGAAGTGGCTATTCAATCTTGGTCTATAAAGCAACAATTTTGTTGAGGCTTCAGAGATGTGGATTTACAGTTTAAAAAAAAAATTTACTTCCACATCCTTTACAGGATGTCTCAAGCCAAAACCTGCATGTGTGGATGTCCCAAACCAAACCCTGCATGTGTGGATGTCCCAAACCAAAACCAAACCCTGTATGTGTGGATGTCCCAAACCAAACCCTGCATGTGTGGATGTCCCAAACCAAACCCTGCATGTGTGGATGTCCCTAACCAAACCCTGCATGTGTGGATGTCCCAAACCAAAACCTGCATGTGTGGATGTCCCAAACCAAACCCTGCATGTGTGGATGTCCCAAACCAAACCCTGCATGTGTGGATGTACCAAACCAAAACCAAACCCTGCATGTG